AAAATGTGTGCATTTGATACTCAAAGTGAGATAACACATAGTCACATTCAAAATAAAAAACATTCAATAAAAAAGTATAAAATATTAAAAAAAATGACATTAATAACTTCATATACTGATAATTGATATTAACATTAAAATAAAGTCAAACATCCATACATGTTCAAAGCGATTAAATCAAAAACTATAAAATAAAATAACTAATCATTTATATTACGTGTTATATGGATTAAAAAACAATCAGTTATATACATTCAATGTGATTAAGTCAAAAACAGTAAATAAAAAAAGACAATTTAAAACAAAAAATACATTCTTAAAATATCACGAAGTGAAGAAGAACCAAAACTTAACTTACCTAGAAGTTTTGATTATAAATTAATAAAATCCTTCAATAGAACTATAAAGTCAAAACAATATTTGATTAGGATTAACAGTGTGAGAAACCTTCGATTAGGATTATGTGTGAAGATTAAACTAATTGTGAATAATGTTTACAAGTTATAGAATTAGCCGATTAGGAATTACAACATTAATCAATAATCTCACTCAATGCATGATTGGAATATTTTGTGTGTCTGCATGATCTGCGTGATCATCCTTTGATGGTTTGATTGAACGTTAGTCTCCTAATGAGTGACGATTAATGAATTATATTTTGAAATTTTAATAGGTCTTAAATAAGATTGACTATATTATTTTATATATAATCCATAATTTTTACGTATTAAAATATAAAGATAGCGGTTCGGTTAATAATGGTTCGGTTAACCTATAAAATCATAACCGAACCGTTTGTTATCGGTTAACAAAAATTAGAAATCGAACCAACGGTTTTTAAAACGGTTCGATTATTATGGTTCGGTTATAGTGGTTAATTTGGTTATGGTTCGGTTTTCTGGTTATTATGCTCACCCCTAATAATTAACCTGAAGCGAACCCAACCGAAGGTTGGTTCCTTTCGTTTCTGTTTCCATTTCAAGCGCCTTCAGGCGAATCACCCTTTCGCTTTCGGTGCATCGTTCATTCGCTCCAGCCATTAACAAGTGAACCCAATTTCATTGATACAAAGGTGAAATAGAGCATCACGATGAGAATAAGGAGCGAAACCTTAGCCAAGCCGAACCATAGGGTCGTTTTCGGTCCTCCCCTCTTTTGTTCCAAGTGCTTTCGTTCCAATGTTCACAGTCAATTTTAACTTTTCGTTTTGACCCTTGTTCATCCCAGTTGAGATACGATTTCATTTGTTCGCAGGTAAAGGCTTTCACAACAATTTTGACTTTTCGTTGGTCAGCAATTGCGAATAAGCACACAACCACCCCGATTTCATTCCGATTAAGATACCAAGCATATCCGATTTTGAAAACGAAACGGTGTCAACTGCAAAAGGTATCAAGATACGCTTTCTTTCCATCATTCAGTTCACATACGCCTTTAAACCAATTTTGACTTTATTAGTTTGACCCCAATAAACACCAAATAATTTTCTCAAATCGATTTCAACATCAAACACCACTTCAATCGAGTTCATGACCATCGTTATCTATACTCAAATCCCTAAATCATCGAATCTCCAAATCATCATTAACTTCTCAGATCAATACAATCAAGAAACAAACTCGATGTTGGAACATGAATAAAGAGAAAGTCTCAATTAGAAAATAGAATCAAAATCAATTTTGATATTGGTATTGTTCATAAATATCGGCTCAAGAACAAGAACAATAGTTTTGAAGGAACGACAATCATAGATTCGAGATGAGTCAATTGCAGTATGCGATTTAAAAGAAAAGGATATATGGGCCAAACCAATGAACAGTAAACGAAAACAATGGGCTCAATGAATGGAAAGAATGAACAGTAAGAAAAAATAAAATTAGCTTAATGCATATGGATCAAAAATTCGGCTAAACGATTTGGTTTAGGGCAAAAGAACCAGATCAGATCCAAAAAAAACAGATTAAGAGTAAAAAGAGAACTGGATCAAAATAATACCCAGATGAACAGTAGAAAACACCACAAATCTTCATGAATAGTAACTTTAACAAAATTTTGATTTCATACCGCCAAAACACCAACAATCTTCAATAACTTGTGCAGAAAATCATCAAATCAAGAATAGATACTTCAAAAATCAATAGATCTTCAAATACCTGCTCTGATACCACTTGTTGGGATGAAAACCCTAATTGAGATTTGATGAACAAGATGCGTAAAATAAGAACAAACACAAATATGAAGATTATGTCGAATGATCACTCCATTTATTCAAATATGATGAATAAATTACACTTTCAGCATAAACTAAAGAATCTAACACTACATAAGAAACCTCACGTGGCGGCTACATTTTGCCTCACTCTTAACCCTAATTGTGAATAATATATGACTATTTATAGGGAAAAGACAAGTCTTGGGCTTTTAACCTAGAATTCATCAAAGGGGCCCATTGTCATCATCCATGGAGTGCTTTGAAACCCTACATCTAAGTAACTATTTTTTTTGTACACATCGAGGTAACGAACTTTTTAGAAGTGTTCATATATGACCGATTATAACCGGATGTAACCTGCTATAGCTGGTCATAATGGTCATATGTGAACATTTTCAAAAACTTTATTACCTAGATATATACAAAAAAGATAGTTACTCAGATGTGAACAAACCAAAAAGTTAATTACCTTCATAAGTTCATTTCCCTTTATGATAAGTAAAATAAAAAAATAATAAAAAATAATAAAAAAAAGTCATCGAGAGAATCTAAACAAGTACCGTACAAATGAACAGATAAATAAAATAACTCTAGTAAAGTAAAAGTCCAATCCTATGAATTTTTTGTGTAGTAGTATTAATTAAATCGTAACCACAAAAACAAAACATTTCATTCATTTTCATTAAAAAAAGTTAAAATACAAGTGTTTCTTTACAAAACCGGATGATATGGAACACATTTTTACTGGTTCAAATACAATATGGCATCGTCTAGTAAATTTTGATCACATTCAATTTGGAGTGGCAAATTACCTTCATGGTCTAACCTACATTTACCGATATGCGGTGCGTGATAGTTGTTGTCACCTTGAACTTTTATGATTTCTTTTATGCATGTTTGTAGAGTTAAAAAAACATTGTTAAGTTTGATGGCATTCTTTTAAAAGATGTTCGAACGACATCAACCAATTCATCAATTGTACACAAAACCTCTTGTTCTTGAAACGAGTCTCTAATGTTCCCGCAATACGGTTTTTGCTTGAACGCTTAGCGGGTTCTAAAGTAGTAAACGGGTAGATACCATTTTTTTCCTAAAAATACTTTGTTACCTAATGAATCAAATCTTGGTCTTTCTATGGCCGCAAGAAACATAACTTTTGCGATAAAGTTTTTGCTTTTACATGTTCGCAACGATTCATCCTCATCGGGGACAAGGTAGCAATGTTTTGATAGTTTTGATATGTAAAGCCACTTTTCATCAATATGAACAACATTAAACATATCATAGAATGTAGGAATGAGACCTAATAATGATTGTGCATTAATCTTTGATAGGCAAAGTTCTAACCTTGCTCTTCTATTATCATTATTTAACTGGCTTGATGGCATTTGTATGTGGTCGAAGTAAACCTTCCTTCATACGTCTATGCATCGTTGATTTCGAGACATTTATAGATTTCGCAAGAGATCATATATTGACTCAATGACGTAATGGAATTTCTAAAACATGATTCTAGTTTATTTGTACCCTTTTCCGCCCAACAACCTTTGGCTTATTTGAAGATAAATCAACAAATAATTCGTCGTCAATTGGAAATTTAGCTTGATGCCAAATGCGACTAACAGCATATGTAGAAACCGAGAATTGTGAAGCTATTTCAATTATGGAACCTTTTTTTAATTCTCCATCAATACTTTCTTGCAATAATAATTGATATATAGCTTGACGTTGTGCAATACTTGTGTTTTTTTAGTGGATGGATTTGTGGAATGCTTCATATGAAAATTTGAAATATGACCAACAGTGGATAATGTTGTAGGCTGGTAACAAAACTCTTTGCTTCCATGGAGACATGTATATGTAATTAATGGAAAGTGAATGGACACATAGAATGTCCGGACATATTGAATAAAATATTGGTGGCAAAAGAAAACGCTCCCTAGTTTAGAATCAAAATGAAATTTTAAATGAGTTTTAACAAAAAGGAAAGAAAAAACTTCAAAAATGGTCCCTGTGGTTTCCGAATATATCAAGTTTAGTCGCTAAGTTCAAAAAGCTTTCACAGATGGTCCCTGTGGTTTCAAAACTTTTAATGTTTAGTCCTTCCGCCTAACTTCGTCAGCTTTCTACTGTTAAGTGAGGGGTATTTTCGTCATTTCAATATTCGGGGACCATTTATGAGGTTTTCTCTTATTATCTTAATTTTTTTATAAAAAAATGAAAGAAATTGGATCTCTCTCTCTCTCTTTCTCTCTCTCTCTCTCTCTCTCTCTCTCTCTCTCTCTCTCTCTCTCTCTCTCTTCCCCCCCCCCTATTGCTTTGAGACTTGTACAGTACATATTCTTATAACTTCATTTTCCCCAAAAAGGCAAACCAACTTTAACCTTGAATAATCATCGTATCCAGCAGATTAGGCAAGGAACAGATGAACGAAAGGCGGATCGACTGGAGGTTCGTTGCGGCTGGGAAATCACAAGGAGGGAAAAGGGTGTCCGTTGAGACCGTTAACCCCTTGTTGGTTTACGCCTCTTCTTCATTGATCGGGAAAGGGAAGAAGGAACACGAATGGAAGCAGTCAAAATGGTGGTCTGATGGTTAAATAGATCACAAGAAAGGAGTCGATCTTCGGCAAACTCCCATTGGCTCTTCACTCGTCGTCGGCGATCACAAATTGAGGGAAATGGGAAACACTGGATAAAATAGAGAAAGAAGAATGGAAGCAGAGGTGGTTTGGTGGGGGGGGGGGGGTTGGACAATCGCTAAAATGAAGGAAGAAAACGAAGGCAACTTATGATGTTGGGTGATTGTTATAGCAAGGGGGTTGCTCCGCCTTGGTCGTTCCTTCTCTGTTCCATTGGAAAACACAAGGGAGGAAGGGAATGAAACAGCGAAGTAACAGAGGAGGGAAGCAACGATCCTCAAGGTTGTTTGGTTGTTTCCCATTAACAAGAGGAGGGGTAGAGGAGGGTTGTCCCCATTTCATCTTCTGGCTGCTCCGGTGACTAAAACGGAGAACCCGTTTCTTGATTTTGTGAATGATTTCATTGGGGTTGCTAATCGATTTCATGTTTGCTCCGGTGACTAAAATGGAGAACCCGTTTCTTGGTGAACTTTTAGGGAGGAAGAGAAGGATGGGGTGGGGATCGGAGTGTTTATCAGATGAATCGGTGGTAGAATTTGGTGGTGACAAACGGTGAGGAATGATGCGATGGTGAGGGCAACGAAGAATGATTTGATGAGAGAGAGAGGTGTTTAAAATTAAATAATTATATTTATTTTTCCTTTTTTTTTTAATTAAGGCAAAACTTCATAAATGGTTCCTGTGGTTGTGAAATGATAGAAATGCCCTTCACTTACCGGCTAAATGTTAACGGAGTTAGCGATAAGGATCATTTGTTAAAAGTTTTGAAACCACAAGGACTATATGTGAGGTTTTTTGAACTTAAGGAATAAACTTGATATTTTCAGAAACCACAAAAACCATTTTTGAAGTTTTATCAAAATCAAATTTTAACTGCTATTTGCCACAAAATTATGGCAGAGCACATTTTGCCTCCATTTGTTTACAAAAAATAATGAAAGTTCAAAGATAAGTATAAAAACTTTGCGGCAAAAATTTTTGTTTGGTACAAAAGTAGGTGTAATAATTAAATTATATGAATTCTAAAAGAAATTATATAAAAAATTTAATAAGGGTAAAAATGTCATTTTGATAAGGTAAAAGCAAGTGGACATTAATTTTGGGAAGGAAGAAGTATCTAAATGTCCAGCTTTAAATGTTGCTTTTAGGATTCCATTTCATCAAGAATTTAAATAGTTTATAATACAATTCGCACATATGTAACATGTGCTTGATTATATGACAGAAAGGATCGTGTGTTCGAATTTCTCAAAAAGCTCTTTCTGTCTACCATTAACAATGACTTTTACACCGAATAAGTAATACGGTATACGGATCAAGACCGGGCTAAGAGCATTCAAAGTAATCTAAATATACATGTTTTGGGGGGGCAAAAAGGGCCTATACATTTAACTAGCCCGTTCATAATCTAATCAATTTTTTGCATTGTGAACCTTTTTTGCATCTCTACTTACTTGTAACCCACAAACATGTTAAAAGCTTAGGGACATAATCATTTTAATAAATAAAAAAAACGCTGACATACATCACTGACATAGAGCAATAGATAGATCTAGATTAACACTACATTTGTTTGAAGAGTGATCACTTGTATTCTGCCTTGAGTGTGTCTCGCTGATTTCACTCAACAAGGAACCATTGCTCATCTGGACTAAGGGATGTTGCAATGATAGTGATAACGATAATCCACACTCATCAGGCTGCTCGACCTCTTGAATATTTCTTGCTTTCTCAAGTTTCATCCCACTGAGCATTCCATGTTCAGCAGTTTCTCGTTTGGAATTCTGCATAATTAAACAAATTTAACAACTAAATTATCATACCAAAAAGAAAACGTTTTATCCTAATTAAGTGGTGATTTGTTGTATCTACTCATATAAAAATAACCATTTTACTTGTGTATTATAAAACCACCAAGATTATAATAACAAAAAGAAAACGTTTTATCCTAATTAAGTGGTGATTTGTTGTATTTACCGATATAAAAATAACCATTACACTTGTGTATTATAAAACCACCAAGATTAGCAATCATTCATGTTCCTTAACTTGATTAAATTAGACATGGACTAACGAATTATTATAAATACTTATATAAATATAACTGGCAGTTCTATACAAGATATTATTTAAATATAGAATCAGCAATTATCGTTAAATTACAGGTCTTTCTTATTTACTTTTGTGGTGATTAAATGTGGTCAAAAGATAAGAAATAATTGGAAAGGCGGGAGTACTTGGGAGATGAAAATAAGACTGATCTGATCCTATATTTACAAGTCTCTGGTACTGTGTTCTCGGACTGCATTTATTTGCTTACAGAATGGACCACCATTTTCATGTTCTTCTATATAATTATATAAAATCCTTTCTTCTACTCAACCTAGTACACGTGTAATGGAACTTTAAGTCTTTAACATGTCTCATTGGGGAGTTCGCAACTCATATTAAACTCGGAACGTTTAGACTAACATAACCAAATTTCAACCATGCAAAGCAAATATTAACTGAAATCCTAAAATAAGTTTTTTTTTATGTCGAAATATGTAAAATCACATTTATGTTATTGATCAAGTACCCAACCATTTGAGTAAGTGAAAATGCTTTGATGTTTATCTTAAAAGATAACTTTTCTCTATTTCATCTATTTCCCTTAAATCAGCATATAGATACATGTTTTAGATATTTATATAGTTATTCTACATATGCATGATGGTAAAACTACATACATTCTTGGAAATAGTCTTCTTTTTTAAGACATATGATGATGTGGCGTTGAATCCATTCAACTCTTCTATGATTTCCACCTAAGCATAGAGTTGAAGCACTCTTTCAATGGGTTTTTTATTTAAAAAATAATTATTTAATTTATTCTATATTAACTAACATATCTATTACGTTCTAATGTATTTTACATTTAACAATTTAATTACTTTCTATTTAATAATTGACTTTTTGTAAACTAATTAAATGATATATTTTTATTTTGTAAGTAAGTAAGTTTGTTTTCATGATTTATTTCTTATTCATCTAAAAGAGTATACATTTTTTTTTAAAAAAATCAATACGATAACATTTTATTATTACAATACAACAAAATGAAATTACATATCAATAAAATGCTCCCAAATAGGCTCAATTAAATCATTTCGAAGATCATGATGTTAAATCTTGTCCAATAGTATGATGTACTACGGTCTCACATACTTTTAGTTTAATGTATTGCTAGTAACTTTTAAATCTTAACTTATAACCTTTAGTTTGTAAATGTAGTTTTTAATTTCTAGTTAATTTTATTTTCTAGCTTTATGCATTATTATTTTTTATAAAATGATAAATACATGAAAATTAGTAGAATGAGTGGAATGTTGATGTAGTAATCTATTAAACTTTAATAGAGTTTAATAGATAAAATAGTATATTAACACGAGGGTGGTTGGAAAAATAGCTTAATTCTTATTATATTATGGCTTATTAGCTTATAAGCTAATAAATTAGAGTGCATTAAATTATGATAAAATGATAATAGCGGTTTCCTACGACAATAATCTATTTTTATTGAAACATTGTTTTAGCCTATAACGGTGTGAAACCGCTAATAAGTATAAACTCCTTAAATAAGATTAGTCAAACACCCTAGGTAAAATAATATGAGTGGAATGGTAATTTGTCACCATTGAACTTTTGAGGGTCAAATGCTTTTGAGAACACAAAAGAGGAAGTACAAAGTATAAGGTCATCTCCATTTTGAGAACACAAAAGAGGAAGTACATGTATTCATATGTTCAAGTATAAGGTCATCTCCAATGCATTAACTAGATTAATTTATTAATACATATACATTCCACTTAATATTAAGTTTTAGCTTTTATATACATTCCACTTAATATTAAGTTTTAGCTTTTAAACTCTACGCTCCATCAAAACTCTATACAATTTAATCACATCATTTATCATTTTCTTTTTACTTATTGTTATTTTTTAAATAATTAATTAGCATGAAATTAAAAATTAAAAAGTACAGTTAAAATTGACATTAATTAAAAATTTAAAATAAAAAATATATATATATATATATATATATATATATATATATATATATATATATATATATATATATATATATATATATATATATATAGAGAGAGAGAGAGAGAGAGAGAGAGAAGGTACCTTTAGGAAGTCAGATTCTCTTAGATGGTTAAAGGAGGGATTCGAGTGAAAATGTGGAATAGAAAAGGAATGAGGCTGCTGCCATTTGTGATCACCAATGCCTTCCTTTCCCTTTATTCTTATTTCCGAGTATCCATGCATCCTTGTCTCCATTCTACCTCTATATACATACATACAAACACATATATACAACATCAAAATAATAATAAATATAAATAAATAACACTAGTCTTAAACAAAGACTACGTACGTACGAAAGAAATAAATCTCATCCATTAATTTCTTATTTTATATATGGTTTGACAAAATCTTCAAATACCGCTAATTGATCAACTTGCGATAAAATACTCCATTTTTTTTTTCTATTTTTCTAAAAAGTTTGATGGTATCAGTAAAAATTAATGCTCAGACCTTTTGGAAGGGACAGCGAAAGGATGGTAAATGAAGTGAGGATTAGATTCTTGAATGGATGGATGTAAACAAATCTCATGATCAATGCACCCATCATGTTGATCCTCATGAGACTGTTTTCTATGTAATCCAGTGGATCTGTGAATCTCATCATCTGGATGTTGAAAAGTTCATGAAACATGTTCATAAATTAGTACGCATAAGTGAAACAACACAAGAAAACAAACAGAAACAGACAATAAGGTATCAAAGTAAAAGGCTTTTTTTCTCTTACAAGTATGTGTGTTCTTTGGTGTTTTGACTAAGTTAAAAAAGGACTACAAAGTCATTATTTTAAAATGGGTTTTTATTGTAGATTCATTCAAAACAACAACCACGACTTTAACTGATAAAAAAAATGAGGAAAGGAATGTCTGGAATTTATCATATTAAATGTCACAATTAGAAAGGAGGCAAGTGGCTGTGTTCTTCATGTGTTTTTGTTAAAAGATCTACCTTTTGGGAAAGAAAATCATAAATAATAGGATCCTAGTCTTCCGTATGCTTTTTGCCTCAACAACAAATAACACACGAAGATGACAACTTATCCTCCAAAATTAACCACTACCCTTTAATTTTACCCGACTAGTAGTCTCAGGTTTCTGAAATCATGCATTTTAAACTCATGATCATGCGTTAAGTTCTTGCCAACACGAGGTTTTATTAGAGCTCTTAATAGTATTATAAGTGATAGATGAGATGCATATATACCTCGTGTTGCAACATCGCTCTTCATGCTTCTATACATCTGCAAGTTCAGTTTTTTTAAACTAATATAAGTGCGTGTATTCATAAAAGACATCAAAAAAGGGGGAAATGATGAAGATTGTACCTGAAGATGACTTTTAACATGGGAAACAGTGAGACCCTTTACATCCATCGTCTGAAGAACAAGCTTAGGTGTTGCTTCTGCGTACATGAACAACATCATTACAAAACTAACAACGTAGGTATATACATACATACATACATAGATACATACATATATGTATGTATGCATCATTTTTTATGATCATCAAGAATAGCAGAAAGAACATACTATTCGGACCACCAAGTGTGTGAATGGCATGAACAAAACAACGATGAAGATCAGGAGTCCATCTGAGTCTTGGCACTTTTGATCTTATGTATTGCCTCACTGTTCCATTCCTCTCACAACCCCCCATCTCTCTCTACGTATATTTATGTCTCTTGATCTCTATGGAAAAGAAGATAGATGTTGCTGAATTTGTTGATTTAAGAAGTTATAACAGATGTGAAGCTGAAGAATCATTCAACAGAGAAAATGATCTTCTCTTTCTCTTTGTCAATGTAGGTGGAGGGAGATGAGTAGTAATAGAATGGTTTGTAATGAACGGATTTGTTCGGGTGGGTGAAAATATTACCCCCTGCAAACGAAAATTGTGATCACGAGGGATTCTGATACGTGATCTGGTTCTCTTCTCCTCAGGCTTTACAAATTCAACTGTTATTTATATGAATTATCTACAGAAAGATAAGAAAAAGAAAAAGAAAAAGAAAAATGCTGCTGGTTTTGACCCTGTGAATCTTTCTTTTTCTCTCTCTAGAATAGTAGGAGATGAGATACAATACGCCAACTTCGTCATCATAACAAAAGCTAAACCCATTAAATACAATAAATTTGGGGTGAATATGTTACCTTGTTTTATTTTTAATCTAAAAACAAAACATTTCATACTTCAATGTGGTGTCAAATACTATTAAATAAGTAAACATAAGTTGTGCTTTAGAAAAAAAAAATCTTTGTAATAAAAGATAATTGACTAAAATGAAAAGTGATTTATGATTCTACTAATATTAATTATCTAAAAGTTTAATAAAAATTACATAAGACAACTTCAATGAGATCAAACATTATTAAATAAGTAAACATAAATTGTGGTTTAGAAAGAAAAAAATGTTGCTTTATAATAAGAGATAATCACAAAAATACTAAAAAAAAGAATCTTGATATTTATGATATAGTAACAACTTATTCCGTAGTAAATGAATATAATTGTGAGATTTGTAAAATAATAAAGGGACAAAAACAAGTTGTTTGCATGATAAAATCTATTTTTGTTGTTTTGTGACCGTAGTTACCAAATCATTTATAGATTCTCTCGAATGCACGCCTTTTAACAAATGATATCGATAACGAGCTGGATATCAAATGAAGTAAAATAAGTTCAATTATTCGTATTTTGAAACATAAGTTACTTGTTTCCTTAATTACTATCTGCAAATAACTATGTTTCGAAAACTAAGGGCATTTGCAAGACCATAACCTATTTTGCAAAAGTGTATATTTCACGTTTTTCCATGTCATGTTTACATAAGTTAAATTGTTAGGGTCTTTTTACGTCAAGCGTTTTATATATGCCTTGAATTATAAAACAACACCCAAATCATTTTATTTCCATAATCTGATCAGGATGCACCCAATCAATATTTATTACAACTAACACAATGGACAACACAAAATATCACCATTATGGTATCATATAACGAATGACATTTATAATTGTTTTGGAACTATCTTCTTCAAGTAGTCCGACGACATCACGTCACTGCATGTAGTAAATTTTAAAGTGACCTAATCGGAGTGTTATATGGTAAATTTTGAAGCGACCTAACTGGACTGATATATGGTAAAAAAAAATGGCACCAAATTATAAATCCATAGTGGATATAACTTCGCAACAACACCCAAAAGAATTTTCATAAACCTTACCGGCATATACTCCAGAAGAACATTAAGTGTCTCTAATGCCCCGCTCCACTATATGAAAAATATTTTGAACATTCTGGTTTGATGATTTCATTTTGGTGAAAAGAAAACTTGTTCCTCGATGTTTGATATGAACTATGAAGGCTCAAGATCAAGAGAACTTGTTATTTTATTTCATGAAATTAAATGTAAGATTTATAACCAAAATCTCCAAATTTGAAAAAAAAAAAAAAAAAATACAATTTTCAAACCGTTGCTAAAACCATCTCCAACTCATTTTCATTTTTTCTCCTAAAAATAAAGAAAAAAATATGTTAAATAATGTTTCATGTCCAACCCTACTTAATTTTTTGCCCCAAAAATTATATTTCTAGTATAATATATTCTTCCAACTTACATAGATTGACAAACACATCCTTCTACTAATTTGGTTTTAACAAATATATAATTTATATTTTTTTCATTACAAAAATATAAAATAAATAAGATTATATTTATAACACACCTATGAATAAATAATATACATACATTTAAAGAAATATTACAAATACACACTTTTAAATAAATATTATACATGCATTTATATGAATTTGATGAACAAAAAACAAACTTTATATTTATAATTAATTAATATAATTTAATATATAACAAAATATTATAAGTATTAAATATTATTTTTAAATTATAATTAGCATGTAAAGATAAACTAGGAATGTATCAATATATAAATAGTTAGGATGATGCTTTGGAATTTTGAAAGTTTGCATGTATATTAGATAAAATATAGATCCATAGCATTTTGGGTTGCATGTACACCATAGTAGTGTTAAAATGCTCAAAACCCGACATAAACATCTTGTAACTGGACGGCTGACCCCATACAACTCATCCATGAAACTTCCACGAACCCTGCAACACTCATGTATGATAATCATACATAACATTGGATCCTATAGACAGTCGCATATTTGATCCTACCCGAAGCCCTTTATCAAATAAGAATGGGAAATAAGGTCAAACCAAACATTCTCAGACTATAGAATCTTAGTTATGTATAACCATGATGCATATACATAGCAACTACAATAATGATATCAATTTCACATAAGGAAAAACCTTAGGCTATCAGGCATCATATAATCAGGCAATTCTATCATGTAATTCCTGAAGATCCCTAGCCTATCACAAGCATGTTGTTCTAAAATATCACAAATCAGTAAAAGCGTTGTAATTTGGGGTCTACTTACTAGCTCCGGCTGATAATAGACATCGCATCCACCTTGATTATTTTTGAAATCACTTTGAAAATTGTTTTTAAAATCTTTTTCCTTAGTTTTGAGACTGGATTCACATGACTGTTACCTCCAATTCACTCAAACCAGGGCTCTGATACCAATTTGTAGCATCCATAAAAATCATGAAAATTTTAAACTTTTAAAACCAACCCAAAATTATAAATTGTTTACAACTTAGCTTTCAAAACATGTTCAATATTAGAGTTTCCCAAAATCATAATTCAAAATGCGAGGATGTGTATGGTCACGTCTTCACCTTCCCACGATCGTCTGAAGTACCTAAAACATAACCCAAACTTGTAAGCCCAAAGCTTAGTGAGATTCCCCAAAGTACCAACACATAACCAAATAACACATATATAATAACAGCATGCAATGGGTCCACAGCTAAAATAATAGTTTACCCCTAAGCACACAACATAAGTTTGGCTTACCCTTGGGGCCTACAACTTATATCTGGCTTGCTCCCCGGCCAGATCAGTCATCAGACTGATTACCACCAATCCCTCAGTATGAGACTGTCATGCCCTACCCAGCCCTCAACTCGTATCTAGAATGCTCATGAGCCCTCAGTATGAGTCTAGCGTGCCCTACCCAGCACTCATCTTATATCTGGATTACTCCAGGGTTTGTTGGCTATCGCAGAGAGTAGTACATCCTTAACCTAACTTACATAATATGTCGACATATAACAGATAATAACATATGTTGGATTAGTGTCTAAGCTCGTAACTATAGTTGGTAAGTATTTGGCCCGGTTTTGCATGGTCCTTTTGGGTTGCCTTCACCAAAGCAACTTGATAGGATGATATATGAAGAGAGAGGTTAATTATGGACAAAATCTATGGGGAAACCCATTAGAATTCGTCCAAGGCTTCTAATAAGGGAGTCCATGGGCTGCTTAGGGCCTAAGTAGTCATATTAGGGTTTCCTAGTTTAAAACCCTAATAGCCTCACTATATAAGGAACCCCTAAGGCCCCCAAAAACGTGTGGAAGGAATCCCTAAGGGTTCTTGGACGTTTTTGGTGTCCTCTTCTTCTCTTATAGGTCATTCTCTTGCTTGTGTTGTTTGTAAGTCATTAGAGGAGTGACATTTGTGACTTTAAGCTCTAAGACAAGAAGATTTAAACCCTTCTTGTAAAGGTAATCATCTAGATCTGATCTTATATGATAATTTTGAAATATGTATTCTAGATCTAGGGTTTAAGAGCTTTGGATGATTACTGCATGTTCATTAGACAAACTAGGTCCAAAGCTTTAGGGTTTGCATGTACACCATAGGATTGATGTTTTGCATAAAACCCATTAGTGGTATCAGAGTCTGGGCTGTTTGTTTGATGTATTTGATGCTTGTTTAATCATTCATTGCATGAAAATCGAAGTTTTTGGTCCTCTGCTTGATTGACTCGGCGACTCAGTTAATGAACTTGGCGAGTCAGGCTGACTTGGCGAGTCAAAGGGTCAGACAGAGGATATTTATGGATTTTTTTTTTTGCTGGTTTGGCTTGGGAAAGTTACCAAAACTGTTTTTAACACTTAAAATTCGATTTTTTATGTTTGGTATTGATTATCCTAATCCAAATAGTAGATCATTGTCAAAATTGAGAAAATTACTTGTTTTATAAGATATATATTAATTATTTTTTTGATTTGAATTATCTTCCAAGTAATTGAATTAGGTCAAAATTAGATAATCACCAATTATTTGATTAATTGAATTATTCGCAATTTGATCTAGATAGTTTTGAAAAGTTTCAAAACTTGTCCTCAAGTTCTGGAATTTAAATTTTTGATTAAAAGTTAATTTTGAAATATGTAAATTCTAAACCATAATAGTTTGAAAATTGTCAAAATTTGTCCTCAAGTTTTGGAATTTAAATTTTTTTGATTAAAAGTATAATTTTGTAATGTTAAAATCTAAAACCCTAGTTTTGAAAAGTTCAAATTACACCCTTATGGTTTTATTAAATTAATTAAGTGTATAACTAAAACAGAGTTAATAAATCCATAATGATATGGTTTACATGTAATTAAATTAAAAATGTAATTTATTAAATTAGATCACCTAGTATTTTAAAAGTGTAAAATACACCTGTATACTATATAAAATTAAAAGGTATAATATTATATATGTATGAGTAGAAAGTCAGTCTTACCATTTGTAGGTCTCATTCACGAAGCTGGTCTCTAAGGGGTGTTTAAGGAAATTTCCTATAAAATGGTGATTGAATGGGTATCCACTCTTACCTACCGCACTCTTGACTAGTGGAGGGTCGTTAGCCGAACGGGTAGGATAGGGTGCAACCTTCCATTATTAGTATAATGAAATACGAAGTAACTAAACGCTTTTATAAATTCTCAAATCTTAGTTACTTTAGGAAAAATGTGGAGTTGGTGCTAATCCATGAAATTGCACATTGCACCTTGTTGGTCGATTAGTGGGGTGTGTGTGGTTAACCGACACACTAATATGGGACCATTGAAGGATGGCAATGGGTAGCTTGATGTTTATCATAGATCAATGAAGCCTGTGTGGTTAACCGGCACATTAATTAGGTGATTTGTA